GCGGCGGCGGCGGCGGGGGCGGCGGCGGCGGCTGCTGCTGTTGCTGCTGCTGCTGGGCCAACTGGAGGTGCGTGGCGGTGTGAAGGAGCTGGGACTGGCGGTGCTGGAACTGCTGCTGGTGGTGGATGGCGATCTGCTGCTGGATCACCACCTGTTTCTGCTGGAGGTGGATCTGCTGCTGCTGCTGGATCAGGGAGTGGGGCTGGATCTGCGTGTAGGTGGCTGCAGGAACCGCCCGAACGGGACGGAGGGGAGGAGCAGAAAATCACCCTCGTTACCGACGAAGAGTAAAACCACCCTTCCAAAGCGCGCTTGCTCTTGGTATCGCGCGGCGACTGCCAATCTAACCTGCGGCGGACCCGAGAGCGCGCTTCGGTCACGCTCTTTCGTCTGAGGCAGACATTACCACCTCTGTCTAGGATGAAGGACCTCAAGGAAAGAACTCGAGAGCCCTCGGTAAGTTCTTGTATCCATCTAACTTCTTTCCCTTTGCTATGCTAAATCCTGCTAGTGGGACCCAGCAAAGGAGAACGGCTGGCCCATCTTCTGTGCGACTGGACTGGACTCCTCAAGGGTTGAGTCCCCGCTTTCTTCACTTTTTTATATCCCTAGAGCCCAGCCCAGTGCCCGGCACATGAGAAAGACGTTAATAGTGGCTGAAAGAACGAAGGTCCTCAGAGGTAAAGATACTAACATTTTCCGGTGAATGCCTCGGTTTTCCAGACTCATCAGTTTAGGTCACCACCTGTGGGGGTCTTTAAGAGTCGCAGCTATAATCTCTGACTTTACCCAGGTTCCTCCCCTGCAAGTGGAGCTGACAAGGCCGGCCCCCCCCCCCCATATCCTCCCAGATTGTCCAGAGAGCGTATGTGAGACAAAAGCCCTTTAGAAATAGAAGCGCTATGGTACGTAAATACCTAGGTATTAGTAATACAGCCAATAATTAACTCCTAACTTTTTGTAAGTAAATCATCCCAACACAGCAACGACCAAAGTGCTAGAAACAAGGCAGGCAAACATAAACCTTACCAAGTAAGGTGCACACATCTAACTCTATCTAACCACAGTCTAAAAGCAAGTACAGGGGCACCCGGGTGGCTCAGTTAAGCGTCCGACCCTTGATACCGGCTCAGATCGTGATCTCACTGTCATGAGATCGAACCCCACGTCGGGCAGAGCCTGCTTGGGAGTCTCTCTCCGCCCCTCCCCCACTCGCATGCCCCTGCTGGCGCCCTATCTCAAGTATCTTTTAAAAAATGAAAAAAAAAAACATAAAAAATAAAAGAAGTATAAACCATTTGGGGTTAACATTATTTATTCTTTTTTTACCCTTATTGATACAGATGATCACAAGGTGACTATATTAAACTGTGCTCTGCTTGCTAGTCCAAAGTGCTCTGCTCTACCCTGGCTGGTCCAACTAATCATCATTAAACAGTGAGAGGAGAAGTCATCCCTTAAGCTAAATCCTAAGCTCCAAGAGGACAAGGCCTCTGTTTTTCAAAGATGCATCCCTGAAGCACCTGGGTGGCTCAGTCGGTTAAGCGTCCAACTCTTGATTTCGGTTTCAGGTCGTGATCTCACGGTTCGCAAATGAGCCCTAAGTCGGGCTCTGCGCTGCCAGCGCGGAGCCTGCTTGGGATCCTCTTTCTCCCCCTCTCTCTGCCCCTACCCTGCTAGCGCTCTCGCGCTCTCAAAATAAATAAACGTAAAAAAAACAAAACACATCCCTAACACCTCCTACAACACAGGAGGCAATTCAGTAAGAACGGGGGAAATGAACGGGTAGGGTGGGTAAACTCAGGGCCTAAGAAGGGAACGAAGCAATTGTTTGTGAACTGATTGCTGCCTGGTGGAAAACAGGGCGCGATCTAGCTCTATTACCAGTCCCCCTCTCTCCCTGGACGAATACGATCGAGGCTGATGCGATTTTCTTCCCTTCCACTACTCCAGGACCAAGAGAAGCAGGAAAAAAGGCAAAGAAACGTACTCTGAAGATTTCAAACAAGTTCTGAGAGAATGATGCCGTGACGAGAGGTGACAAGCTTACCTGAGCTAATAAGGGTCTGGCTGGGAGCAGGTGTAGCTGTCCGTGTCAGGTTCATGCCCACGTTCTGCTGACCAGCCCCATCTGCTTCTGCCTTCTTGGCCGCTGCACTTTCTGCTTCCGTCTGGCTTCCCTGACTCACAGTCACTGTCTGGGCTGCAGGCAAGGGCTGCACCACTCCTGTGCCCTTCCTGGGACAGCTCCCACCACCACCCATTCCTGAGGAAGGCAACTGACCCAAGCCCCCAGGTGCCTGGCCACCTCCACCTGGACCCATGGACCCTGGGATGCTACTTCCGCTGCCTCCACCAGCTTGACTGAGGTTCAGGGACTGGCCTGAAGCCCCAGAGGATGCCTGAGCCACAGCGAGGGCCTGGCTAGAGGCCTGGGAGAGGCTAGACACAGGGGAGGCTCCAGGAGGAACGGCCTTCTGAGTAGAGCCTTGCATTTGGGGTCCTTGGGCCGAGGCCTGTTGGTTCCTCACTGCCAAATTCTGCACCTGAAAGATAAGAAGAAAGAGATATACTGAAAAGGGGGGAACAGGAGGGACTAAGGGCAAGATTTCTATGATGATTCAGTAGCAGTGAGGATAGCCACCAATATTCCCCAGCCCCCCTCAAAACTCATACCCCCCACCTTGTCAATTACATACACGAAAGTCCTTCCAGTCACTCAGGGAGGGACTCGAATCACATTTGATTTTCAGTTTCCTTCATCCACTATCGAACCCATCAGCAAGTTCACTCATTTATTCCTTCAAAATGTCTCAGATTTTCCCTTTGCTCTCCATTCATTCCTTCAACATCTACCAAATACCTACTATGCTTCAGGTACTACGTTGGATACTGGAAACGCAGGGACGAAAGACACACGATCCCTCCTCTTAATGAGTACTTTCCACCAGAAAAGACCAGAAAATCACCAGTAGCCATAGGATACTATGCAGAGATATGCACAAACTGCCATGGGAACACAGAGGAGGAAGACTGAGTCAGACCAGGGAGATCAGAGAAGACTTCCTAAAACAGTCTTTTGTTTGACCTGAGACTCGACAGGTAAGAGTGAAGGCAGAGGTTTGAAGATATAGGTAACAACATCTGGAAAACCATCAAGCCAAGAAAGAGCACAGCATTTCTGGAAATTATAAATATTTCGTTATGTGCGGGGGGAGTTAGAGGGAGTGGCAAGAAACGAAGCTAGGAAGGTAGGCTCAGGCTGGCGAGGTAGAAAGGTATCAGATCATGAAGGGCTTGGTATATTAAAATTAGGAGAGTCTGAACTTCGGTTCGCAAACAAAGTTGATCTGTCTCCTCCACTGTTCCATTTCTAGCACCTAGCACAGTGCCTGACATAGTAAGTACTCCAAAATATGAAGAGAGGAACGATGAGCGCCTAACAGATTACAGGAAGCCATTGAAGAGTATTAAGCAGAACACACAGACACAAATCTACAGTTGAAACCATTCTTTTAAATGGTGCCGATATGGGGCGCCTGGGTGGCTCATTCGGTTGAGCGTCTGACTTCGACTCAGGTCACGATCTCGCGGTTCGTGGGGGTCGAGCCCCGCGTCGGGCTCTGGGAGGACAGCTCAGAGCCTGGAGCCTGCTTCGGATTCTGCGTCTCCCTGTCTCTCTGCCCCTCCCCCGCTTGTGTTCTCTCTCTCTCTCTGTCTCTCAAAAATGAATAAACGTAAAAACAAAATTTGAAAATAGAAAAATAAAATAAATGGTGCTGATAGAAGCATAAGTCAATACAAACACTTTGGAAAACAGTTTGGCATCATATCCTGTAGTTGAACATTCTTCAACTCCTGAAACCAGTATTACACTATATGTTAAAACTAACCAGAATTTAAGTAAAAATTGGGAAGGAAATAAATAAATAAATAATAAAGTTGACCATTCACACAGCCCCTAATCCAGGAATTCCGCAGGAGAAACTCTTGCTGATGTCTAAGAATGTTCACAGCAGCACTCTTCACAGGTAACAAAAGCCTGGACACAACCCAAATGACCGTTATCAGAAGAGAAGATGAATGAACTGTCGTACATTCACACAATGGAATGCTACATAGAAATCAATATTAATAAAACACAACAGCATGCAACGGTATGGACGGATCTGGACAAGTATTCCCCCAAAATTATGTACAACCCAAAGACTTTCTAAATTTAATTACAAAGTAAATATATATAGATAGATAGATAGATAGATAGATATCTAGATCTATGTATATATATATATATCTCATATATATGTATGATATATATATATCTCAAATATATATGTATATTATATATCTGATATATATATAAATGTATATTATATATATAAAAATATATATATTATATATATATCAAATATGGTATCTGGAATTTGCTTCTAAATAATCCACAGGTGGAGGGAAGGGGCCTGGCTAGAATGGCCATGTGTTGACAAATGTTGCAGCTGGTTGGTAGGTACATAGGGCTCCATGTTTTTTACTATTTTTTCCAGAAGTGTGAAATTTTCCATAATAACAAGTACTTCTGAGAAATGTAAGCACAATAAAACTATTAAGAAAAGGGACACAGGGAAGGATGGACCTAGGAATCAGAATGATTGTGACCATGGGCAGGGGCAGGCAGTGGGTGGAACTGGGGATTGCTTATTACATCATGAAAACATACTGAGTAAATACATAAAAGTGGACCATGAATGGACCGTTGCTGACAGGATATCATGAACCAAGGATTGTGATTTATCAAATCTGATACACCAGGAGTACAATTTAAAATAATGTTAGTAACAACACATATTTTCTTATTTAAGAAACTTATTCTGGGGCACCTGGGTGGCTCAGTAGGTTAAACGACTGACTCTTGATCTCAGCTCAGGTCATGATCTCACAGTTCATGAGTTCAAGCCCCGCACTGGGCTCTGTGCTGATGGCACGGAGCCTGCTTGGGATTCTGTCTCTCCTTCTATCTGCCCCTCACCTGTTTGTGCAAAATAAATAAATCTCAAAATAAATAAACTTAAAAAAAAAAAAACTCATTCTGGGGGCACCTGGGTGGTTCAGTCGGTTAAGCATCCTACTCTTGATTTCAGCTCAGGTCATGATCTCAGCGTCATGAGATAGAGTCCCGCATCAAGCTCCATGCTGTGCAAGGAGCCTGCTTAAGATTCTCTCTCCCTCTCTCCCTCTGCCCCTCCCCCACGCACATGCATGCGCTCTCTCTCTCTCTCAAAAAAAACCTTATTCTGATAGTAATACGGAAGATGCTTAGAGGTAGATAAGGCTGAAGTCAAGAGACCAATTGGAAAATTAGTATAGTAATTCAGGTAAAAAATAATAAGAACCTGAGTTCAGGCAAGCAGTAAAGAAGTGATAGATTTTAAGAGACTTAGAAGAATCATCAGGATTGGGTGCTGGGGTACTTAATACGATCTGGCAATTCTACAGTTTTTTTTTTCTAATCAGCTTTCCATAACGGTTGTTTAAAACTGTCCTAGTCTGGGATGCCTGGGTGGCGCAGTCGGTTAAGTGGCTGACTTCAGCTCAGGTCATGATCTCGTGGTCCGGGAGTTCGAGCCCCGCGTCGGGCTCTGTGCTGACAGCTCGGAGCCTGGAGCCTGCTTCGGATTCTGTGTCCCCCCCCCTCTCTCTCTCTCTGCTCCTCCCCTGCTTGTGCTCTCTCTCTCTCTCTCTCTCTGTCTCTCAAAAATAAATAAATGTTAGAAAAAAAATTCAAAAATAAATAAATAAATAATAAATAAATAAAACTGTCCTAGTCTCCCTATACACCTCAGAACCACTTGCTCGTCCCCCTCTTCCTCATCACCCCTGCAGGGACAATAAAACCATTACGAGCACCCTCCATGAGCTCCATCACCACACCTATACATCCCCCTCATAAACACCCACCACTTCCTTTTTCCCTGCTCTCCCTTCCTCCCTCCTATCAAATCCCACAGTCGGGGCCCCACCCCTCATCCTTCTCAAGGAGATTAGTCTATCAATTCCTTCCAGTCTCTTCAACCTTTCCACTAACAGTTGCCTCCCGTCACAACCGAACCCCACTGTCCCAACCCCAGCTTCATCTTCCTTTCCTGTTATTGCCAACCCGGCAGTAACTGTTCACATGCGCTGTGCCTGTTCTCACTATCCAGCCATCCCTCAAGTCGTACTACTTTGACCTCCACCCCCCACCAACTCCACTGAAATGGTTCTCGATCCCAATCAGTGACTCTTTCTTGCCCTCTCTACTGCGTTTGACAGAGGACTTCTCACCACTTCCTCCAACACTGTGCTCCCGTCTTAATGACACTACACGATCCAAATTTTCTTATTTCTCTGCCACTCTCTCCTATTCCCCTTGGCCAGTCCCTCACCCTCTACTCGACCGTGACCGGCTCCATTTTCTAAGGCACTGTCCTAACCCTCAGGGCTCCATCTTTGAACGCTTTTCTCTTGTCAACCCATACCTTTCCCCCCAAGCAATCCCAAATGTTCTATGTGCCTACTACTCCTGAACGTTTATCTCCAACGCACAGACCTCCCCTCCAAGCTCCAGCACCAGATATATAAAACTGCTGACCTCCTCGTGACCCAGTGACTCACAAACACATCCGAAGCCGGCATATCCAAAAGGGTGAACTTCACCCTCAATCCCCTTCTCCAACATTCTTCATCCCCTAAGTAGCACGAGCAGCCACCTCACTGCAGTGTCAGACCTCATCTCTGGCATTCCCTCGACTCCCCCATCCATGGGATCAGTTTTCCGTTTTCAAAGATCTTCCCAAGTTTTTCTCCAATCTATTCGTTTCTGTCCCTCTCCCTTGTTACTGCCCAATCCAAGCACCACCCTTCCCCCCGACTGTTCTAACGCTGTCGTTCTCCTTATATTCACACCGGCACCACTTCCGTCTATTCTCCAGCGAGGAGCCAACGTAATCTCGAAACACACAAATGAACAAACCTCGAATCGCTCCACGTCACTTCCAAATTTCAAATCCGTCCACAGCGTCCTCTCGCCCTTCGCAGAAAGCCAAAAACCCCAAACACTGTCCCCACCATCTTTTTTAATTCCTCCCACGTATAAAGCTCCTTCCCTCCTCTTTGGATTTAAAGGGTCTTGGGACATGAGGTGTCCCATGTCTTCACCACTCTCCTTCCAGGTAGACACCTCCCTCAAGGGTGGCTTTCTTGCTTTCCACCCCAATCCCAAGGCTAAATTAGGTCTCTTCCTGTGTTTGCGGAGCACTCCGTACTTTTCTCATGAAGCAATTATTTATTAAACCATCCAGGTGATTCTTTGTTTATAATGTCTGGTGCTTCGGTGATTTGCGATCCCTAACAGTCCAGTGTTCATGATCTTCTTGGGCATACAAGGCAGGGGATATGTGATACATAGTAATGACAGCCAACAGTCTCAACACTCAACGCATCCAGGCATTGCTCGAGCACTTACACCGACAACTCATTTAAACCCTCAACACAACCTGAGGTAGGTATTTAACAACAGCTATTTTATGGAAGAAGAAACTGGCAGAAACGTATTAGGTCATTTGCCTGGGTCACACAGTAAGTCATGGACTTGCATTCTGACCCAAATATCAGATTCACGTCTTCGACCACTACTCTGTCCCCCCACATACGGACACTCAAATATCTGATGAATAAGTAGACGGATAAATGAAAGAACTGGATACGAAGTCACAACCTCAGCCTCGGACCCCCCTGCTGTTACCATAGTCTAAAACAAAGGTCTTACCCTAATGACTAAATGACTCCCAAGAATCTCTTCCTAGGTTCCTTTTTTTTTTAATTTTTTTTTTTTTTAATGTTTACTTATTTTTGAGACAGAGAGAGGCAGACCATGAACGGGGGAGGGTCAGAGAGAGAGGGAGACACAGAATCCGAAGCAGGCTCCAGGCTCCACGCTGTCAGCACAGAGCCCGACGTGGGGCTCGAACTCACGGACCGTAAGATCCTGACCTGAGCCGAAGTCGGACGCCTAACCAACTGAGCCACGCAGGCGCCCCTCTTCCTAGGTTCCTTAATTTCTCTTTCTTCTCCAGGTACATGTTCGTAGAAAATTCTTTCCAAAATACTGTCCTTATCCTATTAATCTGCTGTTCAACAGCCAGCCTTGACCCCTGCTACCTATGAAGGTACTTTCCAGACTTCTCCCTGCCATTGACCTTTTCTGCCATCAGGTCTGTTGTCTCCACTTTATCCACTCATCCCCAACTCAGGCACATACAGGAGTTACGCCTTTACACATCCTGTTCTCTCTCAGTTTTCTTCTTGCTCTGAATCAAATCCTATCCATCCTTTAAGAATCTACTCAGGTATCCCCAGAGTCCCCGAGAAGGAATGCGGCCAACTCTTCTCTAAACTCGTGTGTCCCTCTAAGTTAGTACCATCTACTTCGCACTTCTTTGTTCTCTAAGATCTTTGAAGACTTGACTTGTATTGCTTTCCAATCTTCCAAAGTCTCTAGTATATTTCTGAGCACATCAGTAGAAAGAGTTCAAGCTCACTATTTACTTGCTGACAAACTAAGAGAAAGAAAAAAGTGATTGTGAGATCCCAGTGGGCATTCCATCCATAAGAAGCAAAAGCTTCATGCTCGAAATAAATATACGTATTTTGGGGATAAGGCACGGGAAGCAGGGGTGAGGAAGACTTTACTGGGCACACAGCGAGTGGGAACACGCTGCCGAAAGTGGGCAGCTACCGTAACTCATGAAGAGAAGGAATCAAACGTTCCTTCAGCAACTCAGCCAGGCTGGCTTCCCATCTAGCTAACTGCAGGCTTCCCTTATCCGGAAGAGAATACTGCAAAGAAAGAGAATTAAGACTTCCTGAATAAAACTGAGCCACAGAGGGCTAAAAGAATGTAAGGAAATCTACCCTGGGATGAGAACAGGCTTCCCAGATCCACAGGGCTGTTTTCAGTCAAATCTACTTCCCTTCCTAACCCGAGTAACTCATCGGCTATAAGGGATTCAAGTTCTATAGAAACTAAGAAAAGGGGAGGAAAAAAGAATCCTGAGAAGCAGTAATGGGGTAGCAGGGCAGGCCCTGGTCTGCGGTCGTTCCCTTCATCCTCCCCAGTGCCCATCCCCAGGTCAAGTGGTTGCCACTGACCTGATCTGCATCTGCATGGACTCCCGGAGACTGAGCCGATGGCACCTCCTGCTGGACTGCAGCCACCGCCCCGTTAGGCATCAGGATGAGCTGGGAGGCTAGAGGCACATTCCGGCCCAGGGTCCGGTTTACCTGCAATAGGTTTCCCAGCTGTGGCTGGCAAGGAGAGGAGGAAGAGGAAGAGCAAAGGAAAGAGAACAAGAGGGAAAGAAGAAAGACAGAAGGAAACGGAAGGGAAGGACCACAAGACAAAATAAACAGAAGATACGAAACTGCTAAGCCCTGCCCCTTTCCACACCAACCCAGGAGACCCTTATTCTCCATATGCGATGAGTCATCCGGAAGGAAACCTAGAATGTACATAAAACTACAGATTGATATCAAAGAGTCAAACATCAAAGACGTTGAGACAATGAGGATTTCAGAACAAGTATTTGTGTATATAGCAGGTAGACAGGCTAAGAGATAACACTTAGTTTGTGTACTTGAGCCACAGGTTTAACGACTGGACTATACGTGACGCTCCTTGAGTCAAACGTTAAGGCGAACATCTAACTTAGGATCTCGATGTAATCTGCAGGCTACCCGTGGATACTGAGCATCAATTCTACACATAAGTAAGGCCTAGGAGGCAGATCAGTGTGTCTTAACATATCGGGGTAACCGTAGTTAAGTAAAATAGCTTTCACTCAAGTCTGTGTGTGCCAGGGCCACTCACAGTTGTGCCCCGGAACGATGGTGGTCGTGTTGGTGGCTTACCCGTAGATACATCTGGGCCTGCGACTGGTTGAGAGGTGGGGAGGTGGTGTTCCCCAGTAGCACAGATTGGGTCAAAGTGGTAGCACTGGGAGAGCTCACACTCTGCGATCGGCTGATGAGCTGGGCGGCCGACGTGGTGGCCAGATTGATCTGCGTGGTACAGAGAGGAACCAGGCTAAGGCTTTGGGCGGGGTCAAAGGAAACACACACCACGGACAAATTCAGGGTGACACAGTCAAGAGCAGAATATCTCATTTTCAGAACCGGGGGGCGGGGGGAGGGAGGGGATGAATAACACCTTCCCATCCATAACCGTCATCCCAGCTACTGTAGGGGTATTACCGAAGTAAAGAAACCAGTCCCTACCCACTGGCATTAACAGCTGGGAGGGGAAAGGAACAAGAATGGAGCAGACTTCACGTCTCAGGAAAGGGTCCAGAGATCGGTCCCTTCCCTTCGTTATCTCCTCTTCTCCCCCCGGGGATTGTCTTCCTCCTCTCTCAGACCTCCTCCTTAAGGGTCCTATATAGATTCAAGTCAGTTATTTCCCTTTTACTGACATTCTCTACGTCAGAGCGATGAATACTATTGATGGCTCAATAAGCACTCTCCGACTGGCTGCCCAAAGCTGTTTACCCCAGAGACAAAGACCCAGGACAGGGTGCCACTTGGTGGGAGGAGGCAGTACTCACTGAGGCCTGGGTGGTGGTAGTCTGCTGCTGTGTGGTGCTGTTTGGGGAGCTGGCCTGCCGACTGGCAGCGATCGTGGCCTGTTAGAGGGGAAAGGAAACAAGAAAGAGCAGAGACAACGAAGGAGAAGACTCGGAATCTTCTAAGCGCCAGCACAAAATGGCATCGAGACTTCGGGTTAAGAACCCAGAGACTACCACGGAGCAAGGAAGAGTATATTCGCTATCCCAATAACGCTGGCATTACCACATCCGCTAGCCTAGTAACTCCCCCCCGGCGGGGGGGGGGGGGGGGGGGGAGATCCAGTAATCTGTCCTCCTCCTCCTCCTCCTCCTCCCACTTTCTCTTAGGCGGAAGAACCTGTGATCAGATCGTATCAAGAGTCACTCGCAGGTCTGGTCCGCGGCCGCCCCACACAAATATAAGGCGAGCCACATATATAACTTTCTAGGACACACGCTTTTCGAAAAGCGAAAAGAAACAAAATGAGCTTTGATTTTACTGAAGCCGATAGCTCTCATTTCAACGTATAACCAAGAGAAACAAACCACTCAGACAGTTTACTTTTTTTTTTTTTTCCACACGAAGACCTTGCGATCCATAATGTTACCATTTGGACTAGTCCTGTTGTCAAGGGCTCACTAGCTACACACGGCTGGTGGCCGCCATGTGGGACAGCGCAGTTCGAGAACACAGCCATTCTATCTCCCAGCTCGTACTGCAACCCCAGAGACTGAGATCCCTTCGTCCTCCTCCAGGAGGGCAGGAGGCAGAAAAGACACTGTTGCCAGCCGGACTTAGTGGAGGAGGCGGTACGCCCCTACCCACCTGGAGCGCCTACCCCCTCCCTCTTGGGCCAGCCGGCTGCTGACCTCTCACCTGCTGGACGGCGGCCAGGCTATGCAGCTGGGCATTGCTGAGCTGCTGCTGGAGCATGAACTGGTGGAAATACTGAGCCGCGTTGGGCTGCCGCTGCAGTGCCTGCAGAGCCTAAGAGGAAAAAGAGAGGATCAACCCAACCCACTCAGAAAAGAATCACTTGGAACTCCTATTCTATGCAAATGACTGCGATCCTCGGAAAGGGAGGCTTAAGGAGGAGAGAAACAAAAGAAGAGGGGGAGTGTGGCGAAATCAACAACCATCGGACTTGTCCCTTTCTACCGGAGAACTAGGAAGTTCACAGACTTCAAAAAATAACGAAACAATTCTGTCATGCTCTATTCTTGTATATAAAGAAAAGTAAAGCAACGTAACTCACATGAACTCTTAATTCCCAGAATGGAATGTGGAGAAGCATGCGATGTAGTAAGGAAAAGAGCGAGGGCTGGACAAGTTGAAAACAATTAATGAAAAGAAAAGAAGAGGCATCAGGCTTGCTCAGTACGTATACAGCATGCAACTCTTGGTCTCAGGGTTGCGAGTTCAAGCCCCAGATTGGGCGTGGAGCTTATTGAAAAAAAATAAATAAACAAAGGGGCACCTGGGTGGCTCAGTGGGCTCAACATCTGACTCTTGGTTTCGGCTCAGGTCACGATCTCACGGTTCGTGAGACGCAGCCCCGCGTCGGGCTCTGCACGGGCAGCACAGAGCCTGCTTGGGATTCCCTCCCTCCCTCCCTCTCTCTCTCTGCCCCTCCCCAGTTCTCTCCCACCCTCTCTCTCTCAAAATAAATAAATAAACTTAAATAAATAAATAAATAAATAAATAAATAAATAAAACAAAAATAAGAAGAAAAACTATAAAGAACAAAAAAATAAAAGACCATACGCTAGGGATACAATAAAGGTGAGAGAGCCCCAAGCAGTTGAAAATGATGCAAAAGAGAGCAAACAGGGGCTTGTGAAAGATTCTATTAGTACAATTTTCCAACAGCTGGCATTATAAGGATGACACTGGTAATGCAGTTTTAGTATTGACTTTAGGATATTACCGTCTTCTTATTCTTTAATAATTAGAACTATTCTTACGACGTGCATAGTTATTCTAGCAACCACGCTATTTTAAGTAAAATGCCCCGTTCCCAAGCAGATTTTTTTTTTAAATGTGGAATTTTACTATTTATCAAAAAATAAAACTGAGTCTCAAACTTCCATTACTCAGGGTGATTGACAAGAAAGACCAAATATTAAAAACCTGACAATCCACGAAGAGAAGTGGGTAGTCAGAATCTAGCTACATGAACTGAATGATATACAAATCCATGGTTTAAAGACTGAATTTCATTCTCTGGTTGCTTGGTCACACTGTTATAAACCCCTAAGATTCTCAGGGCTGGAAGGGGCGTTAGTCATCACCTAATCCAACTGCCCCGGTTTGCTGAAAAGGAGCTAAGAGCAATTCTCCCCCAGCACCCGTGCCTACCCCAAGCCCAGACTCACAGATCACAGCCCCTCCGAGTTGAGCCTCACCTGCACTGCTTGCCGTTCATACAGCGACATCTGAGCTATCTGGGGCCGAGAGCTGCCCCCAGAGCTGGAGCTCCCATTGGTGGAGTTAGAGTTCTGCTCACTCTCCGTCTCCATGATACTGGTCCAGGGTCCCCAAAGCCGGCGCTCTAACTCAAGACCTAGAGGAAAGTAGCGAAGGATTAAAATTTACACCGGATCTCACACTATTATTTCTTGTTATTATTCAAGCTATCTAAGACTCTTCCTCTTCTTTCCAGTAGCCATGATTCCTTGGGTTTTTGAGAATTACCAAATCTACAACACACACAACCATATATGTTCCCCATACCATCGTTTGAAGCTACGCAGTGTCTCGAAAGAAACCTTTACATAGTCCCTTGGGACTGTCACTGACTAGCAAATGGCTAGAATTCAAGACTCCTAAGGCTAAGGCTACCTTACATTCCCGCAAGCCACTTAACAGTTATCTCCTTTTTGTCTGGATCCTCAACGTCATTATCAGCATCATCTTAACAATGGTCACCAGGCACTGAGAAGCCGCCAGGTGCCTCCTCTCACTGACTAGCTCTTCATCTCCATTATTTTTTCACAGAGCTTTAAGGTAAACAGGATTATCCCCATATTATCACTGCAGAAAGGAGGTTTTCTGAGGTTAAAGTTGTGCTAGGAAGTGTCAGGTCTTTTACATGAACACATGCTACCTCCTCAAACAAACAAAAAAATCTGTGCTTAAGGCAGTGTCATTGGGTTTGAGTATTCATTGTCCTCATTTTATGGAGGAGGGGCTTGAGATACAGATATGTTAAATGCATCATGGAAGGTCAGAAAACTTGGAAGGCAGACGGGCCCCTGGCTGGCTCACTCAGAAGACCATGCAGACTCTTGAGTCATGAGTCAAGCCATGAGTTCGGAGCTTAAGGATGGGTGCAGAGATTACTTAAAGAAATAAAACTCGAAACAAACCAACCAACCAGCAGGTAGAACTGGGCTACAGCCCAAATAGCTTCCTGGTTCCGGCTCAGGCTACTATTAATCACACACTGGGCATGTCACTTTCCCTGCTTATACCTCAGTTTCCCCATTTGTAGAAAAATCTTCACAGTTGAATGTACTGTATCATTTTCACAAATGGACTCCCACGTATTAAACAGATGAAATACACAGCAATGAAAATCTTCAAGAAAGTAAGATTCAACTTTTTGGTGCACTTAAGCAGTCAGAATTTACGCCGCGGCGCGGCGCGCGCGCGGGGGGGGGGGGAGGTCTACGATAAAATTTGCAAACAGACATGAAAACAGTGCTAAGAACCAAGCCACGAGACAGGAGATGAGAAATAAGAAATAGGCCTCCAAACAGCACTAAATCACCATATGGCTTTTTTTTGGTTCATTCTTATTTTTTTTTTCTCTCTCTCTCTTTTGTTAAGCCTGGACACTATATTCTCTACCTCTGAGGCACGGGGCCACTAGAAATGTTAGGTCAGCAAAGCACTATTTGGTTTAGGAATGTAAACATCAAACCAGAATTTCTGCTAAGGCCTGTCAACAGTTTTATTAAAATGGACTGATCATAATGATTACATCCAAAACACAACAAGGTAGACAAAATCTAACCGTTTGGCCCCGGACACAGAGTTAGGGAGATTTCTCAGTATTCCATTCGGGGCATCATCTGATCACATCATCATCCCCCAAGTACTCTACCCATCTCTGCAGGTGTGGCAAATGTCACTGCAAACATGGATATAACCCAAGAAGCACCCAGGGGAAACCCTATCAGCCTCAACTCCGGTTACCTTCTCCCACATCTTTCGCCAAAATATCAAAGCACTCAACAGATACAGACCCATGAATCCTCATTATCAGCATGTGAAGAAAAAAAAAGTGGGTAAGGATTAGAGGCAGCATGGCAGAGTTGTATATAGAGATCAATGGACTTAGTTCTCTTCACTGGACTCAGAGACAGGAGTCCCCTTTACTAGCTGGAGGATACATTAATTCCTACATTCATTGGGAGAAGTGCTAATAAACCGCAGGATCCTAAAATGGAAGTCGGAGTAATATTTTTTTTCAGAGTGTGAGAGGAACACAGAGATGGAAAGGGACCAGCTTAGGGAATAAAACCGGGAGAAACTGACATCAAGAGTGGGATTCCTGGATCTCAGCCACGTAAATCTGTTCATCTGTGATCAATGTTGGGACTGCAAAATTAAGTAGAGAAAATGAAAACAACAAAAAGTTTGGGAGGCACAGTGAATTTACATTTTCGGAACCATGCCAGAAGAGAAAGAGCAAGAAGCTGATCCACGGAGGTCCCCACAATAGCTCAACTGTGGTCACCCTGAACCGTAGTAGTTGGGTGTGTATGGACTGGATTGGGTTGGGTTGGTTTAGGACGGACCTCTGGCGGGGAGCTAGAAAAGGATAGTGAAGTGGACCGGATACTGGGCCCATTGAGCCAAGAGTTGGAGGGAATAAATTTCCCTAAACATAAAAGTCCGTCTTGTAGAAAGTACCGGGCATAGGAAGGGCGGCAGGAGAAGGGGGTGGTTGGGAGAAGACTGTGCCAAAGAAATGGAAGTGATCTGAAGAACAGGGATAAGTAAGCGCCCACGGGTCCTCGCTGTATACAGAACCCTGATGAAAATGAGGTTCCAAAGAGGAGTCAAAGACACCGAGGGAAGGGGGCAGATAGAGCGGTGCCAGGCGTGAACTGACCCAAGTGAGCTGGGAGACGTGCCTACTGATAGCAGGGAGCCAAGCAGGAGAGGGACAGACAAGTCAAGGAACTGGGAGACCGAGGCACCAAGCGGACCATCCAAAGCAGGGAGATTACTAGACAGCAGGCTTGGATGGGAGAACCAAAGTCAGAGAAGGAAAAATGAATGAGAAAATGAGCAGTCAGAAGCAACTAGGGTGACGGACAGACGGCGTGAAGCGCAGCGCAATGAATAGCAAGAAGACTTGGACAGACAGAGCCGAAGGACCGCAGAGCTCAGCGCTAGAGGTAGGCAGGGAAAGAAACTGGGGGAGGTACCTGGGGCGTTACACAGACGGAGGTGGCTGAAGAAACATCCCCGCGCAGCCAAGCCCCCAGAGGTCCTGCCCCTCCCCAGCCCGCGGCCGCCCGGTTACCTTCGCGCCCGGCTCCGCACCGAAGTGCTCCCGGGGGGCGTCCACCTCATGTGCCGGGGTCCCCAGTCGCCGGGCCGGGCGGGGGGCTCGCTCGGCCTCCGCGGCGGGCTCCCCTCGCCTCCTCCCCTTCCTGGAGGGGCGGGGGCGCCGAGGGCGGGGTGGGAGGTGCCCGGCGCGGCCGCGGCTCCCCGCCCCTCCCGCCGCTCCGGGTGCGGGCCCGGCCGCGGCTCTGCCAGGCCTCCGGGGCTCGCTCCGGGCCTGTCACTTCCTGCCGGGCCGAGAGGGTGGGGGCTGCAGGCCGGGGGCTGCGGGCCGGGCTGGAGGAGGGGGCTGGCGGGGAGGTGCTTCCGGGGCAGCCGGACCCCTCCCCCGTCCCTCCCCTCCCCTCGGCGCCCTCCTCCCACCCCTCCTCCCTCCCGCGCGTCCCTCGTTTCCTGCCGGCGCCCGTTGCCATGACGACGCCGCTCCCGGGCCTCTGCGCTCCAGGCCCCGGGGTTGTTGTTCCCCCCCCCCCCCCCCCCCCCCGCTCTCTCTTTCTCCTCTTTTTTTCCCTTCTTTCTCTCCGAGTTCGGCGCGCCGGTTGGAGGGACGAAACTGAGACAGTGCTGGCCTCTAGTGGGGAACTCAGTCTCACCGACAAGGAGAAGGAGATGGGAGAAGGGAGGGAAGTGACGTGCAAAGGGGGGGAAAAAAAGGAGGTATTTTCTGGAGCTTCTGGGAATAAGGGATAGAAAGAAAGGATCAAAGGGGCGAACAGGCAAAGAGGGAGAAAGCGAGGCAACCACCCGAGAGAAACGACAGACTGGGGAAGGAAATAGAGCCGAGGAGCGGAGAGAACAGGAAAGAAAAAGATTGAGGCACTGGAGAGAGACTGCTGATTGTTAAATCCTCACCTCAACTCCGAGAAGGCGGGAAAGAATGCTGCCCAGAAACTGAACCCATTAGGAGTTGACATTCATTTAAAAGCGGCAACCCAATAAGCCTTGCTTTGAACAACACATTTAAGTCTGTCATTTCAGGGATTTTGCGCGCGCGCGTGTTCTTGGGTGCAAAGTGTGTATGCAAAAGAACGACAAAAATCAGGGATGAGGCATAAAGAGAGTAGAACAATGGGGCTGTATTGGGGGATGCTAAACGTTTGATGAGGCAGTGGCCTTTGCCATTTTATTTATGAGAGCAGTTGGTCGGCTTTTAATCCTCTTAGCCTTGGGAACATTCGGCAAATATTAATCGAGCACCTACTATGTGCCACCTCCCGTTTTGGAAACTTGGGTTACTTCGGGGCACAGAACAAAGATAACTGTCCTCGTTTAACCTTTACAGCAGGCTGGGGGACCCCTGGTGGATAGATAACGAAGGCTGCTGCCTTCCCTGGGGTTATCTTCATCCAGGAACAATTCTTACCTCCTAGTTTTTCCCCAGCCTCTGGTCTAGTCTGTCCTTCTCTCTGTCCACCCGCTCTTAATTCTCGCCTTTGAAAGCCAGTGCATGATTTGTTTTTCGAGAAAAAAAAAAAAAATAGAGGTGTTCTCTTTGTTTATAAATGAGATCCATTTAGATCTGCGCTCAGGGAGGGTTTGGACTCCGGCTCTTCATCCGTGGTAGCCAGATTTATGTCAGAGGCGAAATCTCTGCCAGGCTTCTAGGAACCAGCCAGACAAGTATGTGAGGGAAGGAACCGGAGGGCAGCCAAAGGACTGGAAAAGCAAAGACGTGAGGTGTGGGGAGGTGAAAGGGTGTGTTGCCAGGATGGTTGACAGGCTTTGGCTGAGGATGAATCGAAAAGATGCTGGCAGAGCACTAGTGGTAGAAACTAGGTAAAGCATTAGTCATTTAATTCAAACTTAGATTGTTGGCATGTCAAAGAAGTTTAAAGCTTTCTTGCGGAGGCTTAACAGTGGATATACTGAGCCTGAACGGAGTCTCCTTGGCACCAATGAAAAAGAGGTATCCGTAGACAATTTTCAGCTGATACGACGTTCGGGTCAAGAAACGTTACTCACGTGCTCCCGTGGGTTCCGTGGGAGAACCGGTGCCGTCAAGTGTCTAAAGAAGGCCTGTGATATATCCCAAGTATTTTCACCGGTGGAGGTGAAACAGAATCACCCCTACTGCTTGTCGATGCATTCCGCCTCTAAAGATGGTTTGCATTCCTGGTCACCAGCCCCTACATCTCCTAAAAGTTACGCATTTCGAAGATCTTAGGGAATAAGGTAGTGATGATGTGTAATTTGGGGGAATGCTATAAATCTAGCCTGGGAATACTCTAGCGCAGCCCATGTGTTATTGATTATGAGCCAGAAGTTTCATCTTCTGATGTGAAGGCTTGTACCCCATATTTCACAACAATTGTTTTCAACTTCATTTCCCGCTGAGACGGACCAGTCTTCCCGAGGCGCGGGTCTAAGCAATGTTCCAAAGGAAATTTCAGGGTTAAAAAAAAAAAAGAAAAAGAAATGTGTTAATGATGAAGTGAAGTATTAAGGAAAACCTCCATCCATATGAAAACCATTCCACGGACTAAGTCCACTTGGGAACCGGTACTGAAGAATTTGTCTCTACCTAAAGGGAGCAAAACAATCTGTTAATCCCTAGAAAATCCTTAACAGGCTCTTCTTTTTTTTTTTTTTTTATTATTTTGCTAAGCTTTCTCATTTTCATTTAATGATTCTGCTGGAGTTAGTGTTTTCTTCTTCGAGCCAAACAGTTCTCCTGAATAGAGGCTGAATAATTTTTTACTCTGCATAACACTGCAAGTCATTAGCCTAAACAGGTGAAAAGGAAATGCGTTCTATCTGTCGTGTCGAAGCAGACGCCCTCCCCCCCAGAAAACTCACCTAAATAAGGAAGATCAGGTTGTGAAAGGCACTCACTCACCTCTTTGGCAACAACTTCAAGCCAACAGAATAGTAGCAGGCCGATTTAATTTTGCATATCAACTGAACACAGACTAAGCATCCTCCAACCCTTCTAAACCCAGCTTTGCACCATGAATTGTGGAGGAAGAGAAGGCCCTTAACCCTGGAGGTGTTAGCCTCATTGGAATGTATGTATCTATTTACAAGCCACCAGGCAAGGAAGCCCGTGCGCTCAGCTTCTATGCAAAGGTGGACTGGAGGAAGTAGGGGGAAAAGGGAATCGTAACTTTTACTCTAAACACCACCCCTTGCAGATGTGAACCACCATATACACATCACACACCCCCCCTCCCAGCCCGCCACCATTCTATATGCCACTTTAAGGTCTACTTGGGAGGTGAGGGTTGATGGGAGGAAAGGGGGGGGATGGGCTAGACGGGTGCTGCCTATGAAGGAGGGCACTGGTGTTGAGCACTGGGTGTTCTACGTAAGTGATGAATCGCTAAATTCTACTCCTGAAACCAGTATTACATTACAGGTTAACTAGGTAGAATTTAAGTGAAATTTTGAAAAGGGAAAAAAAAAAAGATCATAAGGCAGAGAGGAAGGCTGTTACCATGTCACATGTGACTTTTTAACCTGCAGGAAGTGTTACTAAGTGAAAAAATAAATGGTCCTTGGTGACCTACAGCCAAAAAAATAAGTACAGTCGAATTGGGAGAAAATGAAATGAAGGTTAAAAGAATTTATGGGCTCTTAGATTTATAAAACAAAAAAGAACTTTAAAGTTATCCAAGCGGGGTGCCTGGGTGGCTCAGTCGGTTAAGCGTCCGACTTCGGCTCAGGTCACGATCTCACTGTTCGTGAGTTCGAGCCCCGCTTTGGGCTCTGTGCTGACAGCTCGGAGCCTGGAGCCTGTTTCCGATTCTGTGTCTCCCTCTCTCTCTGCCCCTCCCCTGCTCATGCTCTGTCTCTCTCTCTCTGTCTCAAAAATAAATAAAACATTAAAAAATTTTTTTTTTTAATTTCTCCCAAGTTATAACAATTACCTCACACTCCTTATGCTATTCCTCTACAACTGTCCACTCTTGATCAAATCTAGCATAAAGACACAGTTCTATTTCCTTAGATCTTCATTTTCTGATGAAGGCTCCCGTGTCACATCGAAATTATATTAAAGAAATAAATTTTGTTGAAAGAAATCTCTAGGCAAGATGGAGTCTCTTCTGCCCGGGATGTTGGGTCAGCAGATTGAAATTTAGGTAAATTTCATGTCCCTGTAAATGCTTCACTAGGCCAAAAACTCAGGATGTCCAATCAGCCAATCCCCAAACACCAAACCAACTCTCGGCTCTATACTTACTTCCTTGTTCTTTCATTCTTTATCCTCTAAAATCTTGCTGCCTTCTGCCCCCATTTTGCAGTTCTCTGTCCACTTCGCAAAGTGTTAAATAAAGTCTGTTTGTATCACCTAAATTGTCTTTTTTAATCTTTTTTTTTTTTTAATTTTTTAAATGTTTATTTTGGGGAGACAGAAAGACAGAGTGCAAGTTGGGGAGGGGCAGAGAGAGAAGAAGACACAGAACCCGAAGCAGCCTCCTCCAGGCTGTCAGCCCAAAGCCCGACACGGAGCTCGAACCCATGAACTGTGAGATCATGACCTGAGCCGAAGTCAGGCATTCAACCGACTGAGCCACCACCCAGGAGCCCCCTCTGATCATTTTGAAACAACTTGTATGCTCTTCTCCTGTTAATCTGTCTTTGTCGATTTCATTTTTAGGCTCAGCCAAGGGCCCCTAAAAGGGTTAAAGAAAACTTTTTCCTCTAGTACACCCACCCTACTTCCTTTCTTTAGAGTACAAATTTAAAATTACCATATTGATTGGTTCTGCTCAGTATTCCGTCCAGCATTTCCATCAGAAGAAATGGATACACCCCCACCCACATCCTTGAGTAGCATAGAGTGGGCAATAACATAAAAGTCACCAGTTTAGATGATTAGCGTGCAGTTGAG